CTCTGCCGGTGTCTCTGCCGGGGCCGTCCCGGTGCCTCTGCATGTGGTTCCTGCTGCTGCCTCAGCCTGTCCCACTCCCAGAGCCATTTCCGTAGGATTTTGTCCTTGCCCCGCTCGCTGTAGCCTTGGCACAATGAGTCATTTGGCGGGAGGAAGGCGCAGGATTGTTCTTTACGGCGTGGCTGATTCTGGGAGCTGTGTGTTTCCTTTTGGATCTAGAGGGGTTGTGTTTAATCAGGGTAGTTGCCACGGTGAAAGGTGTGGGTGAATCCTTCTCCTCCAAGAGGCTTCGAATCAGTAGGAGAATAGGGAGTGAGAGTTGCTCTAATCGTGGTGGAGAGCAGAGTGGAGTGTTTGGGACATTTTGAACGTGAGAAGGGATAACAGATGTGACAGTTGTTGCTGAGAGTCCTGGGACAGTTAAAACGACACGTGGCTGAAGCACAGGACAATTGGGAAGTTCTGAGCTCCTATTCAGTGTCACTAGTGGGAGCTCAGCACCAGTTTGGCCTTGTGGGGTGGAAGTTCAGGATCACAGTGAGAGCTCAGAGCTTAGTCCATTTGAACCTGCAACAATGCCCATCAGTTTGGCCTTGTGGGGTGGAAGTTTAGGATCACAGTGAGAGCTCAGAGCTGAGTCCATTTGAACCTGCAACAATGCCCAACTCTATGTCTAAATCATATTAATCACCGGAGAATGTTTTCTTTTCCCTTTTGTTTTGCTTCCAACACATTGATAAGGTTTCCTCTGCAGTTGTTTGACTAACAGGGCTGTAGATACCTTGTGGTTTACTTGTTCCTGAGTGCTTCTTATCTCAACCCTGAGAGGCCTCTGAGAGGCATTTGCATGACTATATACACCAAGAAATGTGTGGTTTTGAAGTAAGATTTGTGTCCAGAAAACTTCATCACTGAGTTGTGGGAGGGAAAGTATGAACAGAGCCAGACCAGACAGATTCCAGATGGGATGGGTAACTGGATGATTTCAGAGCCAGGAGTGCAGTGCTGTGATGGTACATTTCAAACCTCTGTGCTTGAAATAAAATGTGGTTCTCTGTTTTTTTTTTCCCCCCCACACAGATAACAGGTCCTGATAACAAAGGGATCTATAAAGGGGATCGAGAGTCCAGTGGAAAATACACCTTTGCTGCCCACATGGATGGAACTTACAAATTCTGCTTTAGCAACAGGATGTCCACAATGACTCCCAAAATAGTGATGTTCACTATTGATATTGGGGAAGCTCCAAAGGGGCAAGACATGGAGACAGAAGGTGAGGAAGATTCCTGGATGGAAATCAGCTCCAGTCTGGGAGCTTTTCCCTCCATGCATGACTTGAGTAGAGTTCTCAGGATTGTTGTTCCTCCAGGCTGGGGATTTAGCTGTTCTCCTGCACAGCTAAAGTAGATATGGATGTTTTTAGACCTTGTTCCATGATTTCATGCAGAAACCAACAGAGAATCCCTTGGCCATGTGCAGACACTAATGCTTTCATCCTTGAGCCTTTCACCAGTGTCACTCTCTGATTCCTAGTTTGCTCAGCAGTTTATAGATTTCCACATGCCTTAGTTGAGCTCGTGGGTAAATGTGCTAATAGAAGGTTTTTTCTCTTAGCTGTGTAAATGACTGTTTTATCTACAGCCTTTTGTCCTGTACCTGTGTTCATCTCTTACACTTCTCTCTAGGTGGTGGAGATACCTGGGATGGTATGTGGACTGATTTTTGAAAGCTCATTAGCATCTTGTCTTTGGCACATGTTCATTCACTAACAGCTAACGTTTGCTTTTCCTCTGTAACATGTGTTTGTAGCATGAGAATGTCTATTTAATAAACTACCCAAAAGGTCTGATTCTGAGCAATGCTGAGCACCCTCAAGCTCCCAGCAACAGGTTTAGACCCTGAGCAGCTCTTGGGATCAGGTCCTTGCACGGTTGGTGTCCAGGTGGTTATTTGTGGCTGGCAGAAGGTTTAATCAGGAGTTTTAGGGGGAATTGAAGTCAAATGCTGAACATCCAAGAATGTTGGATGTTTCAGACAGTGTTTGCTTTCTGTTGCTGAAGTGGGTGTTGAGTAATCAAAGGCTTCTGGGAGCAATAAGCTGTTTTTAGGCTATGAATTATTGAGGGGAAAAACTTCCAACTTGATATTTGTAAAGGAAATAAACGAATGTATTGCAAAACAAGTTATAAAGGTTGTTCAGAAATCACTAACTGCAGCTAGAAAGGCAAAAATGTCTTGTTTTCTCTGTGGGCAGTGAGTGCTGATGTCACTTCAGATGTAACACGTTCCTAACCTGGGGTTTTTAAAGACTCTTGTGAAATATTTTACTGAGTCTGTTATAAAATACATTAGCTCAGCTTTAAATTTTCAGGGCAATTTTCCTCAGTGTTTTTTTGAGTCCCTTTAAGCAATCCCTGTGGTTTTCATTTCCTCTCTTACTAATAAACTGCTCTGACTGCAATGACCAGTTGGCCATGAAAATAAGGGGATTTACATTAGCAAACTGAGTGTGGTTTGCACAGCATTTCAGTTGTAACTGGTATGAGTGTTACTCTCTGCTCTCTTTTGGCTGTTCCCCTAAGGTGTGTCTTTGGAATAGCTTAATTTTCAGGTTGATCTGGAACACTTAAATAAACTGTAATAAGGCAGTTTCCAAGTCAATTATATCCCTTCAGTGGAAAAACGTGTTGGGGTTTGTGACTTCTTAAGGGAGCTGATTGCCCAGGGTGTGTTTGGGGAATGACACCTCAAACTTGGTGCTAGAAAACATTGCAAATTACTTGCCTAATTCATCAGTTAGTAAACAAACAGTTCTTTGAGCTTGGATGTATTGAAAAAATTCTGTGATTGACAGTCAAATCACTAAATCTCTGAGCCTTCCATTTGCTGAGCAATCTCAAGCTAGTTTGCTGTTCCTGGTTTGGTATTTTCCTGCCCTTCTGCTTTCACAGCACAGCAGAACCCGAAGCCTGTGCCAGGCCCCTTTGGCTGCTGTGCTTCAGCTAAACCCAAGGGGCACAAGATGTGATTTGTTGCTTCAGAAAGTGATCTCATTTGCCAGCATCATGATCTTGAGCTATATTCTCAGTTGTTCTATTTTTGCAAGCTTAACAACTAGGAAAAAGCTGTTGTCATGTTCAGATAATTTGCTTGGAATCTATTGGATGATATTGGCAAAATAGATGTTAGTGTGTGGGATTGGTCTTGTGTGTTCTTACATCCTATTCTCCTGGAAAAGGTGTGGATATTGCAGAGTACTGACTCTAAATTGTGTGTCTCCTCCTAGCTGGATGTGGAGAAATGTTTTCCCACTTGTTAAATGCCGTGGAGACATTTTAGGGGAAAATGATGCTATGAAAGCTTAAACTTTGCTGTGAGGGTTGGTAATTTTCAGCTGTACAGGCTGCACTTGTCAGAATTTCTGCAGCAGGAAATGAATTGTTCATAAATTTGTTTAATCTGGGGTTGTTTTTATAATCATTAACAGCTTCTGAAATTCCTCTGCAGCTCATCAGAACAAGCTAGAAGAGATGATTAATGAGTTAGCAGTGGCCATGACAGCTGTGAAACATGAACAGGAGTACATGGAAGTTCGTGAAAGAATACATAGAGCAAGTAAGTGTCTGACTTCAGTCCCTTCTCCCCTCTTCAACAAACTTACAAACTGTGATTGGAAGTAGGAGCTCAGGACTTAAAAAGAATGATTTAGAACAAGGTGTGAAGGACCTGCATGGAGAGTAAAGAATGTAGTGATGCTTGCAGTCTCCTTTAGATTGGCTTCCTCTCAGCTCGTGAGGGTTGTTATGCCAAGTTCTGTTTGCTGAATGGGTGTAAATGCTGTAGTTGTTTGGTGTTTTCATGGAGATACCAGTGATATTACTCCTTAATCTGTTCACAGGGGCAAGCAGGGACAGGACATGGGGGATGGTTTTACACTGACATGGGCAGGGTGAGAGGGGATATGAGGAAAGAATTGTTCCATGTGAGGGTGCACAGGTTGCCTAGAGGAGCTGTGGCTGCTCCATCCCTGGGAATGTTCCAGGCCAGGTGGGATGGGGCTTGGAGCACCCTGGGCTGGTGCAAGGTGTCCCTGCCTGTGGCAGGGGTGGGACTGGAACTGTCCCTGGAGGTTTTAAAGATGAGACTGGATGTGGCACTTAGTGCTGTGTCTGGTAACCATGGTAGGGTTGGACTCGATGATCTTGGAGCTCTTTTCCAACCTGGTTGATGCTATGGTTCTGTGAGCTTTATGGTCCTTCCAGCCCAAGCCATTCTGTGATTCCATGATTTGGTTCTCAGGGAGAGACTTAGCTTGAACTGTTCCTTCACCCCTGAAGTGGCTGTGGCTTAACAATTAAGCCAAAGACTTTTTTAAAGTGTTTTATTGAAATGGAGTTGAACTGCTGTTAATTTCCTGGTGAACTGTGCAGCCACAACCCTCATGTGCTGAAACTGCTGTAAAGTGACTGAGAGCACCAAGTGCTGCCCTGGGGGAAGCTCAGTGAGGTCCAAGGCCAAATATTTTCAGTTTGAATATGCAACATTACATAAAAGCATTGTCTCCTCAATTATTTCAACCTGTGAGTGTTTCCAGTCTTGTGATGTTTGTAACCAATGGTCTGATTTCAGCAAAGGCTGAATTTTAGAACCAGAGATGGTGAATTTTAGAGATGCAGATTAAGATTAGAGTTCTCAACTCGACTCTGAGCCCATGAAAAAGGAAGTGGTTCCTGTTGACAGCTCAGAGAGGCCAGACAGAAGCTTTCAAGGTGGGCAGGATGGAGAAAGATGCTGCAGTGTAATCCAAAGCTGAGGTTAAACACAGGTTATTGAGACAAATCCCTCCCTCAGCTCCTCTCTAAGGCTGCAGGGCCCTTCTCCCACACCTGTGATGACATGACACCAGCACCAGTGGGTTACCTGCTCCAGTCCAAAGACAGAGTGTTTTAAGCTTGTTTTAAAGACTTTGTTACTTACCACTTTCCTTTTTTTTTTTTTTCTCCTCCACAGTTAATGACAACACAAACAGCAGAGTGGTTCTTTGGTCATTCTTTGAAGCCCTTGTACTAGTTGCCATGACACTGGGACAAATCTACTATCTGAAGAGGTTTTTTGAGGTCCGGAGGGTGGTGTAAGAGTCTCCTGCAGTTCCAGAGTTCAGTTCACTGTCTACCAAACATCCTGGTCACCAAACAAAGTCATTTAGTTTCTGAACCCTCTTTACTGAACTGTAAAACTGATTTGCTTATGTTCCTTCCTAGTTAAAAAAAAAAAGAAAAGAGTTGTTTTTATATATCTTCTGTAGCAAAAGCTGTGCTGAAATCTTGTCACTTAATTGGCATCACTTTTTCTTCCCTGAAATCTGCCTGCTCTGTGTGCTAAGCCAGGTCCAGGCCAGCTGCAAATGCTGTAACTCACTGTAGTAACAAGCAATGTTGGTGTCTTTTCTAACTCTTTTCCCTCTTTCCATGAGTCCTTGCAGTTCTGTCCAGGGAAACGGTACAAGGCCCTAAGGTGACTGTTTTGCATTGTTACATCTTTAACCCTGCAGTAGGTGTTTACAAAACTGTGGTAATTCCTTCTCCACTCATATAAACTACCAAGGAAAAGAGCTTGGGACTCTCTCCTGATGGAGAATAGACAGCTGAGCACTTCCACTCTAGTCTTCATACCTACTTGCTACTTCAAAGATACTAAAGATGAGCAACTAATTATATCAACTTCTTCCCAAAGTTCTTTAATTTAAATAGTTGATATGAAAGTGCTTTTTTTTTTATCTTTCCTCCTCTCATCACCAAATGTTCCTCCAACGGTTTTTAGTCTCTCAGAGGTTTTATTTGGAAGCCAATCGTGTGCAGTGTCTTGGCAAACACTAGTTAACCCTTTGGCTTCTGCAGATCCAAAGCTCAGACTGTTTGCCTAGTGCCCAGGGCATTAGTGTTCAGGAATTGTGGATTCCTGAGGCCAAAGGGTTACTGATCCTGGGGGTTTATCCATGCTATGCAGCCCTTGTATTTAAGTGCAGTGGCACCTCTGCCATAATCTGATCAGAATTAGCATAATGCTAAGTACTGGGGTGTTTTCTTTTTTCTTTCAGGCACATGTAGATTTGTTTTTGTATAAAGTTCCTTTTCCTCAGAATCTGATGATTGGGTTACAAATTAAAGAGTCTGATGTGGGTGCTGAGCCAGGATTATGTTGTGACTGATGTATATTAGTTGTAATCATTTTTGGGGGTGGGGTGGGGACTTTTCCAGGGTGGAGCCTCTACAAGTAACACACAACAGTTTTGTACAATTAATTTAAAATTTGTTACAGGTTTTCATGTTCCAGGTAAAGTTTTTTCAACCTTGGGCAAACACTTGCAGCAGTTCTTCAGAGAGGTGACTCTGAACACCTTATTTGCAACTGTTGTGTGCCAATATTTTTGTGTAAAACACTGAAAATGGAATTCTAAGGTGTACATTTAAAAATTGCTCGTGAATCTCAACATGACCCAGGTTCGAGAAATAAACCAATTCTTTAAAAAAATTAGCTCTGGGTTGGTTTTTTTTTTTTTGGTACTTTAAGCTTAACACAATGGGGTTTTATAAAGTATTTGTTTAGGAATGTTTAATAATTAGTTTTAGAGCTAAAATACTAGGAGTTCTACCTCGACAGGAGGAAGAACTTGACACGGTCACAGAATAGTCAGAGTTGGAAGGGACCCAAAAGGATCTTCAGCTCTTGGCTTGGCACAGGACACCCCTGAGAGTCACACCATGTGCCTGAGAGCATTGTCCAGCTTTTCACTGAGCATTGCAGAGTGCTGGAACTGCTTGGGGAGGGTGTGGGTTCTCCCTCTCTGGAGACATCCCAAACCCACCTGGACACATCCCTGTGTCACCTCCTCCAGGAGACCCTGCCTTGGTGAGGTGGACTGGATGATCTCCATCCCGAATTCTGCTGTGATGCAGTGCTTCCTTCAGCTGTCAGTCATTTATCCAAATCTATCCCACTTTATGACAGGTCAAAGAAATTCCAGGTAACGATCAACCTACAGTTTGCCGCCCATCTGCAGGCAGGTGGGTAGCGCAGTGCAGCCACATGACCCATGGAAATGCTTTCTCCGGCAGGGAGCTTGCCATAAACTCAGGAATTCTGTGCTGATGCTGTCGCTGTTTGTTCACGAGGTTTGGAAGTTAATCGCGTGCGGCGGCGGAACCAAAGTGCGGCGGGACCCGGCGCGGCGGAACGGAAATTCTGCGGGACCCCGGCGCGGCGGAACCGAAATGCGGC